ATCCTGTGATAAATTCTATATTTCCCGTACAAAAGGCCATGGGGTCAAGGGCAAAACAAAGAGAGAACAGATGTTCATGCTAAAATTCTTTCTGTAATTCAAACAGGAGATCAAACACATTGACTAATATGAATCATCCTGGATTGACACAAGCAGTAGGTTCCTCTTTAAGCAACTGGGGACCAGTAGTTGCATGGAACAAGAGGTTCTGTTCAAAGCTCTAGCCTGCCATAAGCTTTCTCTGTGTAAAGTAATAAGAAATAAATCTCCCCTACCATTAGCAGTATGAATCATGAGGAATAGGTATATCTGGTATTCTTCTCACCTGAATGAATTCAGCTTATGGCACAGTTTCAATAAAATGAGAACATGGTAACTAAGGAGTGTTCAAGTGTTTTTGCTTGAATTTTTGACTTGGGAACAGTGTGGGTCTACCAGTGTGAATAAAGAAGGGTCCTTTCTATCCCTTAAAGAACAACAGTAGCTTCTTTCATAGACTGCAGGAACCCCTTCCCTACCACTGGATGTTCAAAGAAGTCCTAAATTCACCAGGGAAGCCATAGCATAGTTGTGCTTGCAGCTGTCTGCCAGATTTGTTCCATTTCTCCCTACGGTTTCTCTGCTGTGCTCATGTCTCTTGGCTAGTATGTGCTTTCCAGGGACTGTTTTTTTATTACTTTCAAACCTTGGATCGTCTGAAGAAGAAAGTGGTTTTTTCACAACAAGCTGCAAAAGCTGCATGTATTTAATGAATGTGGAACTGTGTCCCGTAGGCTGCTGTTTCTTAGGTGGTGGAATAAGGTTTCCTCTGAATCGCTGTAACATTTCAAGCTAGTAACTCAGCACATTTATTTCTTCTTAATAAAACCCCTGCTTCATGTACCCAGGGGCTCCTTCAGTGGCATCAATCACCAAAATACTCATTTTCCCTCAGTGTTACACTTCATGAACCTATTTGTTCTGTTATAGTTTAAATTCTTCTTGGTCTTATCAGCTGACCCTTATATACTACTTTGCCTGACTACTATAGAAGACCTTTATTATCTTTGCCTTATTCAAAGCACTGAACAAAGTCCTCTTTAATTGCTGCCATCTGATCTTTGTCCTGGAGAAACAAAATTTGTTTTTCAAAATAAATGATCTCTGCAGCCTTACCCAGCTATCAAATATTACTATTGACTATCTTATCAGACCATGTAATGATGTCAATTCTACCTGCTTCATTATCTATCTAAAGATTAACACTAAGTCTAGTCTAGTTTATAAGAGACAAAGGCAAGAGTGAAATGTATGATCTCATTCCTCTGGGTGCAATTCTTTCAGTAATCTGAAAGAGTGAATTGTTGGTATAGAAAGGTTAATGCTGTACCCCCTTTTTTATCAATTGTCTGGTTTTTATCAAATCTGTGCCTTATCTCATGTCTGTTTTATCTGATCTGCTTGAGTAAGGTACATAATTGAAGCTTCTTCCAAATTTAATTTCCCCTTCTCGGAAGTCCTGCAACTATTTAAAAAAAAAAAAAAAAAATCCTTTTAGAAAGTCTATTTTAGACAAGGAGCACATGCTGAGTTCAGGTATTAACAACTCAGCAGCTATGCCCTTGAATACAAAATACTCCCCATCTTCAAATTGATCAGTAACCTAAAAAAGAGCATTTTAAGATAATATGCCCATTTCTCATTTCTTTTCTTCAGTTAAAGGAAATAAGTTGGTACAAATTTCCTTAAAATTGGCTTTACCAACAGTAAACTTGGTGAAATAAAATAACTGAGTTCAGTACCTAGACTTTTGCCATTCAAAGATCTTGCTCGTGAAGGGAGAGCTATTGGTAGCTATCTAGATCACCAAAAAACATGTTTTGTAGTTCTCTGACAAACCCTAGTGTGGCAAAAAGCTGCTATTCTACAGCTTGCGTTCAACACTGTGTAGATGCTGCTCAATGAACTTCCACTAGTTTCCAATGTTCTTGAGTTCCCTCCTTTCACCTTTGTTTCCATCTGTTTGGGGCGGGGGGACACCAAACCCCCTCACTCACCAAACACCTGCTTTGCGGAATCTTAAATTCTCATGTTCTACTTGTGAATACTTTGCACTGCAAGATGAGTATATTCTTCCTGTTATGGGACAACATACCTGCTCACAGCTATCTGAATTACAGGAGGAAGAGGTTTTATGAAGAATTGTTAGCTTTCCTCCTGTGACCATTTGAAGTTCTTGCGGACTTTTTACTGCTTCCAGTCTGTTCTGGCAATTATTCCTGAACTTCTTCATTAGAAACAAACCAAGCTTTCGTATGTTTTCCTTTAAAACATTAATGCCATTATCGCTGCTTTGCTCTTGATGCTAAAAAGTTCTTCCGTTTATTTTCTGATTTATACTTATTGTGCAAGTACCTTCTGTAGTGTTTTTGCCCCTTTTCTTCTCCTCATGTATTTCACTTGATTCTCTTCCCCACCCCCCCCACATGCTTATCGAAAGTTTCTGTTATGAAGTTTACTTTTATGGGTCTGAAATTTGACTGTTACATGTGACTAGTATATTTTCTGCTTGTGTGACATCTCACTGGTTCTTGTGAAATTTGGAAACTGAAGAAAAGTTTCAGTGTGATTCTCCATTTATTGTTCTGTCTTCTTGAGCGCTACTGTAATTTTCTTCTCCTGTCTCTGGGTACACGAGGAATAGGAACTCACTGAACGTGAGTTCTAGGTGCTTGCAGGCTTTCTTCATAATTAAATGTTTAAGCTGGTAATGATGAAATTAAAAATAGACTAGCAGGTCTGTTAGGAAGCCTGAGCAGAGCAAATGCAGAGATCTTGTGTTTTTCAAATATGTTGCTGAAGCTTTACATCACAGACTGGCTTCTACCTTCAGCATTTCCAGGCAACTCCATTTCTAACAGTGTTTCTCTGAATCCTATTTTCTGTATCGCCTCATTGATGTTCTCTCTCTCCAGCAAAGAGGTGTGTGTCCCTGTATCTTTGGCTTCTGATAACCATCTTGCATGGCAATTTGATCTTCCAAGTTTCCTTATCACTAAAAGCAACGATTTTGAATCATGTGTCAGGGCCCTAAGCCTGAAGGCCAGTTTCTTGTTGCCAGCATTGGTATATGGTTGACTTTTCTTCAGCTTTATCATGTTGTATTTGATGTATTTGGTGTCAAAAATCTTCCCACCCATTACACTCTTAATCTTACGAAAGAGTTTGTTTTAAACTTTTTAAGGTGCTACAGGAAAGAAAACCAAAGGAAATGCCTTCTTCTACTTAAGGCAAGAGACTGGATTACTACAGGTAATCACTCTATCTCCTCAGATCTTGGCTTACTGTACCATCTCAGTGTACCTCCCTACTAGTCTCCCATAGTGGGCTTTTAATAAGGGGAACAGGCAAGCTACAGGCAGAGCAGAAGGGATGGCAACTGCCCTAGTGTCTCTTCTAAGCTGTCCCAGTGCTTGTCCTGCCAATGATATCAAGGGCAGACTCAGAGAGCCGGTGTGCCTATAGAAAAGATACTGCTTTCCCTTAACTTGTATGTTCTCTTAGACAAATTATTGGAAGGCATTGAAAACTAGCAGTGTTCAACTTCCATGCTGCTTCGTTAGCTTGTATTTCTCTTCCACCCAGGTTTTCTTAGTGGTAGATGTGAGGCTCTACCCTACATCCTTGGCCAGGAAGGGCAGCCTTTGGTGTTAGTCCCATCATATTTGGGCTGGAAGAGGCAGCTCTGTATGGCTACCGAGGCGCTAAGACATCTGAGTTACAGTTCACAACCACCGGAGAAAATAGGCTCCAAGGTATTTGACGTTTCCGTTTGGCCTGTCGGGACCCACTATGCTGTTATCTGTTATTGTAAAGGATCCTACCAAGCTTCTCCTGTAGCTCATCAGCCCTGACCTTGGCACTCTCCAGTAGCATAATTGTGGTTGACATGAAAATATGTGCCATGTTCCCATTGCATCAGCTAAGAATGGTTTTACAAGGAATTTCTAAAGCTGTAAGAGCGTTTTTGAAATTATGTAACTTCTGTTTAAACCTCACTATCTCTTGCAGGCTCTGAATACGGGGGTCTAATTGTTAGATATTAACTATTAAAGACACTCTTAGAGGTTCTCTTACAGAAATCTTCTTTTTCTGCACAATAGCCAATCCAAGCCAGTAGTTTGTTTAAAAACAAAGGGGTAAGTGCTCTGATAATATATGCTTTATAATAACAAAATGAAGAAGGAAATTTAGTAGAACTAATTGTACCATTCACTCATGGATTAAAAAGAAAATGAACAGTTTTATTATAAAACAAAGCTAATGCCTTCTTTTTGCTAGAGGTTCTATAAGCTTTCAATATGCAGCAGCTTTAAGCATACTGTGCCTTTTTCACGTTAGACTCATCTTTACGTTCCTTTGTGCAGTTTGGATGTTTGTGCCAGCTCTCAAAACTGACAACTCTTGCCCTGCTGAAGACTCAAAGGATTCAGATGAAAAATTTAACTTTTGATCCCCATCCCTCCTTGACAGAAAAACGGAACTTTTAGCCATTACTGAAACTGGAGAAGATAGTCCAGATATTAATACAAATAACAGGAATGAGAGAACCTTGGTATATGCCCTGGCTTGTGAGAAACAGGCTCTGCCTTTCAGTGACATAAACCAATTTTTTTAATGGGTATAATTTTGTTACTGCTGACTTATTGAATCCTCCGTTTGAGAAAATTGCACCACCCTGTTTGAATGGCTTAATAGTTAAAACTCTAGCTAAGCTAAAGAAGATGAGCGTAGGAGTTTTGAGGAAGGAATACTTTTAAAATTCCATCCCTAGTTTATTAGTAAGGAATTCCTACTGCTGGAATTATCTGGAAGACCATGTCTGAAACTGTAGTCTTTGTTCGCTATCATTGTTCTTTCTGGGCCTCAAGATTTCTTGGGGTTCTTTGCTGGTTTTGGTTGGTTTGGGGTTTTTTTGGTTGTTTGTTTGTGGGGTTTTTTGGGTGGGTTTTTTTTTTGGCTTAACTGAGGTACCAGACATTAAACATGTGCAACATATCTGGAAGGATAGAAAGAAAACTGGTATTAACACGAATAAAAATGTGTATAAAACATTTATTGTAAAGAAAACAATTCTGTGCAAACAGTGATGAAAAAAGACTTCTGTTTTTTTAAAAACTCCACGTGACTTTGTAAAACCCACCAAACCTACTCTGTTGGTACTCTACGCTGTAACAGTCCACAAATAGTCCACTGAAGCCACTTACGTAATTGGCTTCGATTTTTCTTGCAGAGTGGAGCTCAAATCTCTGAAGTTTATGTTGGCTCTTAAGCAAGACCTATTCTTAATATCTCTGATGTAGGAAGGTAAAGAATGGCCCAACAAAATGGAAACAGAGCTGTAGCAACACAAGGCCCACCTCTGTTAGCTTCTCAGGCCCTCAGTGTGTGATCCCTAGCCAGCACTTGTTGGGTGAACCTCCTCAGCAAGGGCCCCTACCTTCTCCTTTACCCAGGCTGTAAATATCAGGCACAGGATGTTCCTCCAGCTGGTCAAATTCATTAAGGCGGAAGTGAGTTGCCAGTTTGTTTACCATTCTTTTCAGGGTGACAAAGGCTGCAATGACTTGGAAGGTGAGGAAGAGGGCAAAGACAATATGGACTGCTCGCTCCAGGGGCTGAATTTTCAGACCTTCATTAAATAGCAGGAAGAGAATGATAGGCAACTGCAGGAGGAGACTCAGGAGCCAAAATCCAGCCAGCTCAGGGACCTGTAACAGGGAGACATCACCTATTAATTGGCAGCTGGAGATGAAAAAATCCAAAACTTCGTGGAGAAAACCACATTTTTTTTTTATCTTCCAAAAGCCACCGCATAATGTAAACCGGCAAAAGCGAGCTAATGTTTTCATATACTGTGTTTTTAACCGTACTTATTTTTTCTGACAAAACAGTTTTGGGGAGCGAGAGGGCTCTCTTCTGAGGGAAAACATCTTGTAGTGCACAAAAGTAAGTGGAAGCTGATGCCAAGGGAATAGAAGATGCAGACTGTAACTTAGAGAAACAATCATCTCCTCAACTTAAATCTCTTAGATGAGTAGACTATTTTATTTATGTTCAACTCCAAAAAGCTCTCATGCACAAACTAATATGTACATGCAATAACACACCTTCTCCTGCAGATTGCCCATGTATCCCAGGTAGAGTCGAATGACTTCTATTAGAGAGGCTAGGATCATGATTGTGACCAGGATGAACTTGTAGTAATCTGACAAGACTGGATACTAGAGGGAAGAAGAGAGTAAAAGTTTCTGCTGTGCTGTTTCATAACATGCTGTTTGTGATTAAATTAAGACACTGTATGCTACTGTAAGTTGACAGCATTGCATTGGCTTTCAAATACTCTTGAACCTCCAGTTTCAAGAAATTCCTAAGTAAACCTAATAGAGCTCACTGGAGTTAGAGATTATCTCAGGTGGTGTTTGATCAGAAGTACTAGGAGGTGTTTGATGAGAAACATATTACACTTGTAAACCATCACTTTCCTTCAGGACTCACCTTCAGATGGAGCATGACCACTGTGCTGAGCCACCAAAATGGGAAAAAATAAACATTGAAATAGAGGGACATCTGCAGTGGTAAACTGGAAACTATTTCATTATCTGTAGATAGAGAGAAATCTTTATCACTCCTAGTTTATTCCATACATCCCTTCCATAAATATGACAGAAAGATACTGCTCCATCTTAGCTTCATGCAGGGCATTAACACTCTTCCCAGTCAAATTAAATGTTAAGAAAAATGTTTATATATCCAGGGGAAAACCTCTACCCTATCCTTAGTTAGACCATTTCCTGGAATTTAATGCAACTTTCAGTTCACAGGATACAGAATTTGTATTGCTTAGTCATATATTCAAGTTGTGTCTGATTGTTGATTACCTGGTGGCTTATGGCTTACTCCGCAGTCTAACTGATAGGCTTAGCTCAAGTAGTGCTGTATACTGATATTGCAGAAAGACTTAGTGGTTATTTCATTGCAGTTCCTAAGAGAATGGCCAAAGTTTAAATGAGTACATACTGGATCATCGTTATTTTCTAGATGATCCTCCTGAGTAAGGACTTACTGCTAGAGAGCAGGTTTGCATTGCCCACTCTTCATTTTCAATCTTTATTTAAACATACATTTGGATGGAAGCAATGTTGCAAGAAGCCAGTAATTCTTCTAGTTCTTAAAAGCTAACAATTTCAAATATGTGTCAAAATAAAACTTAGTCTGGAGAGAATAAAATGTGTTCATACAATGTAGAGAAAAGCAAATATTGAACTCTAACATGCAGGCTGTAAATTCTATATTTAGGATTTAATAATGGATTTTACAAGATTAGACTTAAAATAAGGAAAAATTTAAAAGGGCATTCTAAGGGAATCATTCTTTTTTGATGGGTGAAGTTTTATTGCCATATTCTAGTTAACTGACATTGCATCCATTTTACTTCAATTACCAACAGTCTCCTTTCTCATGGTTTCCCCAGCTGAAGTTTGTAGGCACATCTTCACTTCGTACTACCTAAGCAAGTTTAGAAAGTATTCATTGTGACCTGCCGATTTGTATTCAAGAACTGTGCCCCTGTCTGTCACCATGGTGACATTCGATTGAAAATTAGTCTAAACAGTCACATTGTCTCACTTCCAGGCTCAGAAGCACCTCTTCTGACATTGCCTTCTCTTTCCGTATCTTCCAACCATTCTCATACCTGTCTCTGTTCCATCTCAGTCTGGCATCCCTGTTTCCAGTCCAGCCACATGCAGCCTGGTACAGTCTGTTCCAGAAGTCTTTATGCCAGTTGCAGCAGTATTCATGGTAGCTACTAGACTAGGTGGGAAGGGAGGAGGATTTGGGAACAAAACTGGGACAGACCTTAAGGGTAGGGTGTGAGGGTCAGGGATCTGTTATACTGAAATAGAAGTGCAAGACAACCAACTTTTTTTTTAAATAATCCCATTTTTAAGCATCAACACTTTCTTACATCTGTAAAGGAATGAAAATCTATAGGTACCTCAAAAACAGTTTCACTATCTACCTACATTGTCCCAGCTGTCCTAATGAAGGAAGCTCTTAAACACCAGGAGGACTTTAGAGGGCACCAAAATACAATTCTAAAACACTGTTTTATCTTTCAAAAAAAACATGACCATGCAATTACAAGTAACTGTGTTTCTGGCCTACGTGTATTGGATGAAAATTTAATGGTTCATGGCCATATTACTTAAAACAGAGAAGCCAACAGCTCTAATTCCCATTGTGATGATCAGAACGTTTTAGGTATGTTAAAGGTTTCATTGACATAGCAGAAGTTACAAATATCAGTGCTCAAGTTTTAAAACTGTGTTTTGGATGAATGTTTAGCAATATAAGCCAATTCTAATTCATCTTTCTATCTCTAAATTGAGCCAATATGTATTTTCTGGTATTGCTAAAATTCATGGAAATGCCAGGCAGTATTGTGATGGCCAATTCCTTGATGCTAGGGCAATTCACTAAGATATATATGTGTAAACTTAATTTTTGAAATCCTGATCTCCAAGAAGTTAATGGTACGTTTGCAATTGGTTTCAATGGGTTGGATATTCACGTAAGAGTTTTCATGATGGGAAATGGAAAAAGAATTGCTAAAAATAGAAGCTATTCCTGGAGTTAAGAAAATATTTCAGTGTTGTTTGATAAATGAAATGAGAAATTAATAAGTGTTAGCAGTATAACTACACTGGCATAACTACACAAAGAAAACGAGAACGCGTATCTTGAAATATGAATGACTTTTTGATTAATTTTATCAGCTTGGAATGGATTTATAAGTTGAAATTCACATGCTAACTTCTATCAATATAACCTTTCCGTGTGTATTTTCATGGCTACTGTCACTCCAAAGGTATGAGAAGAGGGCATGTTAGCCTGCAGGTTTCACTGGTAATATGATGAAGGAACAGTTATCAGTCCTTAAGATAGACTTGGAAGAAGTAAGAGAAAGCTGGCATATGGCAAGTTTGAGTTTCTGCTGCCTAACTCCAGCTTGGTACACCTCTTCATGCTTTAAGCATCTGGTGCCCTAACTGTGCGGGACTAGTGAGCTTTAAAACAACAGCTCAGTTCTTTTATTCGTTCTGTGTTCTCTGTAAATGACTTATACTTTTTATTTTGGCACAGGCAGAGTCACAACGAATTTTATCTGTAATATCTTATGCAAACTTGCTTCCTAAGTTGTAAAGGCAGCTAGAGAGTGTTCTCCATACCCGCTTTTAAATCAAACTGTTCCCCGCTTAACCTTTTAAGCGCAAAGGAGGCCTGCCTTAGGCCTGCAACACCGCAGCATGTGAAGTGTAGGGCGACAGCGCAGCAGCATGACTGACAGTGAAACCAGACCTCATCTCAAAGGCATCTCTGCTTTTCAGCGCTGGACTGGCACCCATGTCGCCTGGACTACTCTGAGGCGTTCTCCCGTGTTCCTCCGCTTGAGCTGGGGGAGAGCGACAGCGCTCTGGGGCGGCACCTCAGCCCTCCTGCCGCAGATGGC